GATTGTCGGAGCCCGAGGGTTCAAGACCTGCCCGGGGAACTTGGCAAGACCTCGTCTGTACAATACACCAAAAATTAGCTGGGTGTGGTAGCGCGCGCCTGTAGTTCCGGCTACTTGGAAGGCTGAGGTGGAAGGATCACCCGGAGCCCAGCAGGGGGAGGCTGCAGTGGCCGGGAGTGTGCCATTGCACTCCAGCTGGGCAACAGAGTGAAACTCCAACTCAAAAAAAAATAAATAAATAGAGCCCTACCCTCCTACCCTACCGGTCTGTCCCCCAGGGCTATTGTGAGAACTGGATAAGACAAATGATATAAGAGGGCCTTACAAAATGTAAAGCAATATATACACACAAGACAGGTTGTCGTCATCAATATTAATTGTATCAAATTCTGGCAACAACTAGCTGAGTTCTGTTGTTTTCATTTTGCAGAGTGGAGGCTAAAGGGCAGAATGATTCTCTGAGCTGGCCAAGGGTGCGTGGAGAATGTCACAAAATTAGTCATCCTGGGGAGGAGAAAGGTGTTCATATTTGGGCAGAAAAATAAAATTGCCTTAAGCCAAAAATGATTCTGGTCACTCTTCCTTCAAGTGGAGCCTTTTTTTTTTTTTCCCTACCAGGGAAAGAAACCAGTTCAGTGGGTTTTGCATTATTCAATTGTTATTGTAATTTAAGCCACGCCAGTGGTCATTTGTGACCTGTTTCCCTGATATTTTTAATCCTCCCATTCTTTAATGGAAAACTTCAGGTTGAATACTCCCTAAATGTAATTATAGGGAGTGAAAATATATGTTCATACTTGACAGCAATTATTCCTCTGGTATAGAATCATGCACTGGTTACCATGGGCTCTGATATTGGTCAGAGTTGGGCTAGAATGCAATTCAGTCACTAGCTAGTTGTGTGATCTTGGGCAGATTGCTTCACTGTTATGTGCCTCTGTTTCCCCAACTTTAAAACAAGATGTTTATAGCACCTGGGTTGTATAACAAGAAATCAGTGACAAAATCTACATACAGTACTTGGCCCTGGATTGTGTATGGAGAAAGAACTTGCTAAATACCAGCTATTAGGATAATTTAGGACTATCTAGAAGAGTTCAGGAAATGAGCCTGAGAGTAATGGAATATACTCTTGGGGGGGCATGTGGGGAGAGGGTGGCACAGATCACATCACATGGTGGAGGCCCCTCCTCTGACACATACCACATTTGCTTTGGGAGAAATCTACATGGGCAACTTGGCGAGACCTCATCTCTACAATAAATCAAAAACTAGCTGGGTGTGGTAGGGCGTGCCTGTAGTTTCGGCTACTTGGAAGGCTGAGATGGAAGGCTGACCGGAGCCCAGCAGGTAGAGGCTGCGGTGGCCGGG